AGCAAACAAATCATATAAGACTCTTCAGAAATGCAAAAAAAGCAAAGCAGAAAGCAGACAAACTGTTCAAGACCCTTCGGAAATGCAAAAAAACATTCAAGATCCATTGGAAATGGAAAAAAAACCCAAAACAAACAAACAAAAAAAACCAACCCTGCAAGATCATTTTTTCATTCTTATTTTCTCCTGTTTTTCATTTCCCATGAAGTGTTTGATGAACTCTGAATGTACTTGCTTGCCCATTGGGCTGGGAATATTAGAATCAAACATTTTTGAGAAAGGCAAAATGTTTACAATGACTGTCCTGGAAAGTATCAAAAGGTTTGGAACTCATTCTGGTAAATGTTTTACATATGTCAATAAAGAGGTATTTTGTATGTAACAGAATTGACATTAGGAAGATACATGTATTATTTCTTACTATTGGTCAACAGGCCTTTTGTTTTCTGAAAACATGCCCTGCAGCAGATTCTACTCCCTTGGGCACACTATTAATGACATCAGGGAACCTGTCCTGGCCAATCCTTTTACTCCTCTTTTTTTGGGGGGGGGGGTAGAATCTCCTCTCTTGGAACACAGTTTACAAGAAACTGCTGGGTGCCGGAAAAAAAAACCCCCAACCCCCCCCCCCAATAAACCACATTGCAAGACCCAGCAGAAACGCTATTAATCTGTTCCGGCCAAAGGGGAAAAAAGAAAAAGAAAAGAAAAGCAAACAAATCATATAAGACCCTTCAGAAATGCAAAAAAAGCAAAGCAGAAAGCAGACAAACTGTTCAAGACCCTTCGGAAATGCAAAAAAACATTCAAGATCCATTGGAAATGGAAAAAAAACCCAAAACAAACAAACAAAAAAAACCAACCCTGCAAGATCCATCACGGCATAGAAACATAATCCCACCACCCAGCCCAAAACCACGCTGCAAACCCCACCCAGAACAGTTTTTAAAAAGCAGAAAGCAGCACCTTACCTTACCAGGCAGTCTGAAGCCTCCTCCGATCGCACACTCTGTAATCGCTGGGGTGAAAGTTACAAAGAAGCAGCCTCTTCACCACCAATGGTTAGCAATTTGAATTCCCCACTCTTTCCTCCTACCTTTTTCTGGTTATAACTTGAAGCTCTGGCTGCAAGTCGAAGCAAAATTTTGCGGCTGGAGCTGGTCATAACTCGAAATGGTCATATGTTCTGACGTTCGTAAACCGAGGCACCACTGTACATTCTTAGCAATGAAATGTATGCTGAGATATATCATGATAAGAGAGACACTTGGGAGATCCATGGTAGTCTGTACTGAACAGAGAAAGCATGAAATAGCAGGAAAGATGCTGCTTGTAGTAATGTTACACTTTAAAAAGTATGTACACAATTTTAGGAGCAGACCTAAATACTGATGCATATTTGCTATTTCTTTCGGTTTTGTTTTTTGTTTCTGTGTTATTTGTAGGCCTCAACCATTTGTAGTTTAAACATGGCCACTAATGCTGACGTTATCCAAGAAGTGGGCCACACTTTAGATTGTTGTTCACATTAACAATGGGAATAGCGTTGGTTGGTAACACAAACAGGACAAGTATAAAAGTAATTTGTATTGGACTTCTGTTCTAATATTCTTGTGGAGCCAACTTCTAGCAGGCAACAGTTCTGTCTAAATAGATACAAGTGTTTTCTCCATAGGTTCTCAGTATGCAACCACTCTGTTCAGCTTGTAGAACATTGTTTTTATTGCATGTTATATTCTCATAAAGCAGTTTAATGCAGACAACATTAATAGTGTGCCACCCGAGTGCTCAAATCACCTATGTACACAGGAGTATTACACAAAGACATGTTCCAAGCTTCTTCTAAATGTTTTGGAATCAAACAGGCTCCCACTGGGAATATCTGCCATTCTGGAAATACAGTAGTTCTTAATCAGCCAAACTATAGTCTTGGGCATGAGAAGGAAATCTGTGGCCTTCTAGATCAAACTTGACCCCCCAGATTTTTCTGGATTACAGCTTTCATCACCCTAAATAATGGCCCTGCCAGATTGGATGCATGGTCACAGGTTCTCTAATCTTGCTCTGGACTTTATGCTGAGTTACAGTTTGGCCTTTTGTTGTATATGTGGCATTTTCTCAAATGCAGGCAGGTTGGAACATTTTATTTGCTCTCATTTCTCTGAGCGAGAAGTGTTTAGTGAAGATGATTTTGTGTTGTCAGACTATTCTAATTGAATCCAACCTGCTCTCTCTCCTCTCTTACAGGTTACCTGGACAATGCCAATATTTAGGGCTTCCTGTTGCTGATTACTTCAAACAGTGGATTAATCTCAAAAAGGTACTTGCAACTTCAGACCATCCCTTCCCCCACCAGTTGCCTCTTCATTCCCCTTCCTTCTCCCATCCTCCTTCCCTCCCTTCCTTCAAGGAGGTATTTAATAAGCATTGCTGTTTTGCATTGAAATGAGGAGTTATTTTCTCAGAGGCTGGGTGAAGCGAAGTTCCTATTGTGTCTCCCCTAATAGAGTCTTACTGTACTTGATGGAATATGGTCTGCAGCTGGGGAGAATCCCATTGTGGCCACCTTAACGCTGCACCTCTATGCATAATAACTCAGCATCTCTTTGGGAAAGGCTGGGTCAGCTGAAACATATCGAAGTCTTCCCTCCCCTGGTTAATATTAGCCAGCTGTTTCTCAGCTCTGAAGACTTTGGGGAAAAAACATTGAAAAAAATAGCCTGCCTAAGACTTTCTGTTTTATTCACACTTTAAAAAACACATTATCCCCTTCCTCCAGTAAATAGGTGGCCATAGCTACTTAGATATAAATATATACCCTGTTTGTTGGTTTCCCCTCACTGTAAGGGCTACTCAGGCATCCTGCATTTCTGTTGGTAGCCGCCTGTGGCATGTATGAGAATTACATATGTGGAAAAACTCCAAACCCATCCTTCATAAGAAGGCAGTTAGGAAGTGGAAACTGGCAGTTGTTACAAGGAAGCAAATCCTTCCACAATGTGTATTTTTTTTAAAAAAAATTAAATATTTTTATCCTGCCCTTCTTCTTAAAAAGAAACCAACGTGCCTTACAGCATTAAAAAGATTTGTGATTAATTTTTAACTTGCTTCTGGTTTGTGTTTAAAGCACTGTAGTACTCATGAATCGCATAGTTTAGCTTTCTGTTCTCTTGAGCAGAAAGTTGCTAGGGAAATATGCGTCTCATTTATCTTTTTCTGTCTTTGGTTGTATCTGTGTTTGGGAAGTAAAAATGTGTGGCTTTGTGAATACTAATAGAACAAAAATTAGCATGATTTCTTCTGTCAAATCAGGACAGAATAGATATGTAACAAGGGAAGCTGGCAGCATGTTTCTCATTGAGCGTTATGAGGCTTTCCTTCGTTCTCCACTGTCAGAGTGAATCTCTTGGCTTGTTGCCGGGCTTTGGCAAATGCAATCTGAAAGCACATTGCAGCATTGTGCAGTTCAGTGACCATTAATGATCGCCATTTGAAGTTCACTAAATTTCTGGTGAATGGGTAGGAGTGATATAACCAGCTGATTGACAGTCATACAGAAAAGTCAAATCCCCTCTGCGTGGTTATATTTGATATCAGTTGGCTGAAACCGTTGGCTGTGTTGTACTTCTGGCCCTTGGGACAATATGTCTTTTTGCCATCGTCTTGGCTATCAGGTTCAGCCATTAGAAGTCTGCCTTTTATAATATATAATCCACTTTGACATGCAGACAGAGGGAAATTTTATGTCTTTTTCAGGGAACGTTTTCATGGTGCAGATGTTTGATGAGAATTCATAATGTTTCAGCATTGCAGGAATAGGAGCAGCACAAAACCTCAGGATAGCAGATCAGTAGAGATTACAGCTCATGTAAAGGAAAGGGCAGGATTAACATGACTTAGAAACCAACTCACTTTCTCATTAAGTGTGGTCACCTATTCTAGACTTTTGTTGAAAGGAACAACTGCAGAGTTTGAAGAAAGTAGGATTTGACTGTGTACCAAATCCTCATGCATCCAGATTACCAAAACAGAAAAATTCACATTTAGCCTCAGAGCGTAAAAATCTCCAATCCTGTATAGGAAGAGTCTCACAGTAGTCTAGAAATAATGGCTCCTTTTTAAATTCTGGACAACTGCTATAGTTGAGGAATTCCAGAGGTGCCTAATGTTATACTTTATTTATCATTTGTTTTATTAAATGTATCTTCTGGCTTTCTTCTAAAAATGGCAGGCTTTATACCTGAGCTATGGGTTGGTTTTGGAGGCATCAGTAAAACCAGGTTTAATCTTTGGGTTTATTTATTTATTTTTAATTTATTTTTTGGTATTCAACCTCAGCTGCCTGTCTTGGCATAGAAATATCAGGCAGGTGTGACTAGAGGGGAAAAAACATTGTTAATGATCTTCTCTTCCTTTTCCAGATCATTTCCCCCTCCTTTTTCCTATCTGTCTCATCACTAACAATAACCACCTCTCCAATCTGCCTGCTAGCTCCTTGAGGTTCATGCTTTTGCCTTGTAAACTTCTCTTATGGAACTATTCCATACTCCAAGAATGGGCATAATGGCTGGATTCCCGTTAGTTACACAAGATTTTGTAATTCCATCAGCATAAATCTCAACAGTGAATTGCTGCTAGGTAAGAAGTCATTGTAGGAATTTGCTGTTGCACACCAGTTGATGATTTGATGTTTGGTGGCAATGCCTGTGCTGACTTTTTAATTTACTATCCAGGTTAAGCTTCCCCGCCCAGCCTAACATGATTTGTCTGGGAAGTAGGCTTTCCCTCCTCTAGATCACCTATCAGAGGTAATAGAGGCTCCTTTTCTGGCTGTGAGCTATGTTTCATGTTGGAGTAGGATGGGTGCAGAGATTTCTTTTAAAGCAGTGATTCCCAGCCTTGGGTCCCCAGATGTTCTTGGACTAAAACCACCAGAAGCCTTCACTGCTAGTTGTGCTGGCCAGTATTTATGGAAGTTGTAGTCCAAGAACATCTGGGGATACAAGGTTAGGAACCACTGTTTTAGAGTTACTGCTACTTTCTTGCAAACACAGCTTACCCATTTCCTTTCACATTTCATCTCTGTCTCCAACCATGCAACAAGAGTATCTTCCACTGTAAATTATCAGTATTTGCTCACAAACCTTGTTGTAAAGACAAAACCAGTGTGCCAACCTTGGAATGTTTAACGTCCACTAACAAAATGGAAATCTGAACAACAGCTCTGATCCAAATGTAGCCATGTGGATCCAATCACACAGATACGGCTAACCTCAGGAACTGTTCTTATCTAGACCAATCACAAAGTACTCTCAAACTATGCCACACATTTAACAAGCCAAGATTTAGGTCACCAAAAAACACAGAAACCATGACTTGCTTCACCTAATGTTGGTTTGTTTCCTCCTCTCTTCCTGTCACCCCTCTGAATATTCAGATACTGTCCTAAACATATTGATAATGGTTAACAAATAGCATGGCCTCACATTATCACCAGTTCGCCAAGTGGAGATTATTTTATAGTCCATGATCTGATACTGTAGCTAACCAATAGCATAAGGTCTTCTGCCACTTTTAGCATTGCCTCAAGCTAAACAGTTCCAAAAGCTGCCCTCTCTTCCTGCTACAATATATACAGCTGAACATGCCATTTATTTCTTAAACGCTTCCCTCCAAAATATTTTGAATAAAATTTCTGTCTAGATCCCATGGTTTTTTTTTTATTTGCTATCAGCCCCAAGAAGTAAATCATAAATCATCAGCAACACAAGAGCATGTGAAACAAAACCCTGAACACACATGCTCTCATACATTCTGAATGCCATTGTTTTGGGGAACTCTGTTTTTCAAGAGAAGTCAGGCCACCTGCATTTCTTGTCTTCATTGTCTTCTGTTTGCTACAGGACAAACAGGAAACTGATTCATGCCTTGTAACCTTGAGTGTCCTGCTGATAAGATGATTTCTGTTGTGGCAAGAGGAGTTGTCCATGATCCCATGCGGAGCTGTCAGATCCAAGATGCTTCTAGTAGGCCATTCTGGGTCAATAAGAAAGGAAAGACACTACCATGGGGACAGTAAGGCATCTATAGCCTTTGTTGCAAGAATCAGTTCAAGTGGGGAGGGGAAACGATTTCCCCTCATGTAAAGGTTAACAGCAGCCTGATATGTAGACACAAAATAAAATGCAGGACCTTAGGATGAGCAGAAAGCAGCAACAGAGAGAGCAAACCTTGCTCATAGCTGGATGTGTTGTCAGAAGTTTTACTTTCCGCTGCTTGCAAATGCTTCCCTCTGCCAACCCTCATCGGCCTCTTGCTGACATTTTTAATGTCACTGAGCGATCTTGTATCTTTTTGTGAACTGTCAGCTTAGTGAAGACTTGAGGCAGAGAGTTTATCGTGCTCTTTGCCTTGACTAGATCTGTACTGGGGAGGGCTTTTAGGAATATGGATTTTATTACAACGTTCCTGTGGGTCAGATTTCCTGTTAAACCCTCTCAATGGGTAGCCACTGAGATAGTTACTGAGTGCCAGTGACTGGCTTCCCTTTTGTTGCTGTCAAAAGCTGTCTTTATGATTAGCAGAAGTGTTGTGGGTCAGAATTAAGGAACATTAGAAAAGCTGGGTTCTCTCTGCCGGTGATATCCAAGTCTGGACAAGTCAAGGTTACATGCAGGTCAGAATGGAGGAAACATTAGGGTGAATGACAAGTGGCTGAAATAGTAAGGGCAGAAGCATGTAGTTAAAGCAGTGGTATGGGGAAAAGGCAGGACAGGAGAGCAAGTTGCTGTACCTCAAGGCTGACATGTATGGTATTCTTCCATTCATCTGTCAGACACAGAGGGTCTGCATCCACTGAGGTGCTTATGGTTTCCCCCTTGATAATTAAAAAGATAAGACAGACACATCTGTACAGCAGAATGTACCTGGGTGCCTCTATCCTGGTGTGTGTGTGTGTGTGTGTGTGTGTGTTTGTTTTTGTTTGTTTGTTTGTTTGTTTGTTTGTACATACATACATACATACATACATACATACATACATACATACATACATACATACATACATACATACATACATACATACATACCTCACACCATCTGGCAACCAGGCCACTCTGGGCGGCTAACAACAAGATAAACAGCACAATATCAAAACACGATAAAAGATAAAATAATTCATACTTTCAACAAATATAATGACCAGCAGGATAAATTAAAACAGATGACATGTGATAAAAAGGATCATGAAAAGGATGGCTAAAAGGGAGGCCGAGATCTGAAAAACCTGATACTCAGGGAAAGCCTGATGGAAGAGCCAGG